TAGTGAAACGTCTCTAACCAAAAAGAAAAGAAGTCCAGTTGCCATGACTCAACCTCCAGAGGTTTCCTGTGAAAGAAAATTCTGTTGAAATGCACAGTTAAGATCTGCACTGAAAATCCAGACAAATTATTGAGAATGGTACATTGCAGAAAAAAGGATTTAATACCGTATCACAGCACCAGCCCATATAGTTCAACATTGTCTCTCTGCCTGGAAGATTTACAACACCTTATGCAGAAGCCTTTTTGCTTCCTGCCACCTGCCAAAGATGTTAATGGACATTAAGGAAAAATGGCCAGAACTGTAGAAAAAGCATTAGGAAATTTAAGGCTCACAATATAATTTTAGGCTGCAGAATTAGTTTCCAAATTATGGGAAGCAAGAGTGCCATTCTATTCTGCTTTGGCCAGATTTTATCCTGAGCATTGTGTGCTATTCTGTGTACCACATTTTAAGAAGGATTCAAACATAATGGACCAGATTCAGAGAAAGGCAGTAAGAATGATCAGGGGACTAGGAACTAAGCCATATGAAGAGAGACTGAAGGAACTCGGCATACTGAAGGAGAGACGATATAGCATCTTCAGATGCCCAAGTGGTTGGCACGTGAAAGCTCACGATATGTTCTCTATCATCTCACAGGCCTGGTTACAGAATAATGGATTTAAATTACAAGAAGGAAGTTCCTGATTAAATATAAGGAGAAACCTCCTACATTTAGGAGCAGTGGAATCAATGACTCAAAGCGGCGGTGGGATCCCCTTTGCTGGAGGTGTCCAAGCCGAGGCTGGAGAGCGAGCTCTTAGGGATGCATTTGAATTTCTGCATTGAGCAGGGTATTGGATTTGATGGCGTTAATGACTTGCATCTCTAAAACTGTACCAGCTGGATTTCTGTATGAAAAAGACTGATTTATTGCTGACCAGTACATCCCTTGATAATCTGAAAACAGAGATAAAACCAGTATGGAAACACATTTATAATTTTCAGGTACCACTGAAACTCTAAGGTAGCCACAGTAAACTAGAACACTACCCCAGTATCCTCTCTAACTAAGGAAAAAGGAGAAGACAGAACCTGATGAAAGATACAGTAGGACAGGATAAATATGATATCCTATAGGCACCCACTCCTGATGGGTTACAATCCTTACTGGCACCCAATCCCTCCTCTCCAATTTTGGATAAACACTGTGTGAATTTGTGAGATTCAGACTTTTGAAGGTGATGGCACTTGATGCCAGAAAAGCTTGACTCCTAATATGTTTCTCATAGGGCCTGAGAATGTTCTAGAAAGTTCATCTATTCTCCAGGATCTCTCCATGGTACTGAAGAACACTGAAACTTGCTTGCTTTCTTCCATTGTCCATCTAGTCCAGGGACCCACAATCTTTTTGGGCCTATGACTACATTTAGAATTTTGAGAAAATATTATGGGGCCTTTCAAAAAGGATGCCATAGCGAGTGAAACAAATAACAAAACATCCATTTAACAGAAGACAAACTGGTGAGGCTGCTCTCCAAGTTTAGGTTTTACCGGGCAAATGCCTCTGGCTCTACATAAGGCCAAGGGACACTTTTGAAAATAGAAATTATGGTGGAGGATGGTACTGTGCAGCATCTATTTCTAACTAGAAGAATCTTAAAAAAAAGGGGGGGGGGTATTGAACCTGACAAACACCAAAAGATGTATCATGGAATACATTGATGTCTAGAAGTGCCACACTGGGGACACAGGATCTACTCCCATAATGCCTACTCTGACTGGCAATCGCTTTTCAAATTCTCAATAACAGATTTTTCATACCCCTTGTCCTTTAATTCTTTTTTGGAGACTAAACTTGGCTCAGGTCTGGACACTCCATGTACTTAGACTACCTTTACAAGAAACTCTAGATTCTTTTCCTGGATGAACTCCCACCCATTCTGGGCACAGTCTTGAACATTTCTATGACTCCACTGCAATCCAGGGAACAAGATCATTTCCTAGATTTAGACCATAGCTTTCACATACAGATGCACATTCAGTTTTTAAAAATAAATACTCCAGGAAGTAGAGGGTATAAAACTCACGACAACCATCTGCTGTTACGACTAGGAGGTATATTAAACCACACCTGTTATGCAGGAGTTTCTTTTCATTACTTCTGGTCATTGCCTGGAAGTACAAAGCCCAAAAGCAGCTGTTTCTATTTCCTTTCTCACATCCACATTTATTAGATATGTCAATCTTGGCAACTCTGTAATTTATATAGACAGGCTTGCATAAAGTCTTTCCCTTAATATTACAGAACACCATCATTATCCCTTTTCAGCACGGTACGGCCACCAGAGACCACTTATTTTTGGGTGGAAGTCATTAATGTGACCTTGTACTTTTCTTTTTCCATTCATGTCCATTATTTGGTGGGGTGGTGCATCTGAATATATATGAATTAATGTAGGAACAGCAAGAAAATTCATCATGTAATACCATATCAGCATATTTCTTTGATGAAGAAGTGGACATATACCCTTATCCTCTACATCTCATGCAATTACACAGGTCATTCCACAGAGAAAACTGATACATGCCTAGGAGAAAATAGGAATATACCAATTCTTGCATTGCAGAGAACGAAGAACCAGCCACTTATACAAACTAAGCCAAAGAACAGTTAAATCAAATCTGAGGGGGTATGAAATAGGAGAATTATTTACAAAGTATACACAGCAAGCAAAACAATAAAAAAAAGTTTCTTTCCCCCAAATACTCTCTCCCTCCCCCCCTTTACCAATTAGCTGTTGGTAAAATAACAATTTGCAGACTCTGAAGGCTTTCAATTTCTTTTTCAGTAAATCCAGCCTCTCTCATCTTGGATTACAGCTCTGTCTTGCTGGCATTTCCTGTCTCGAACAAAAGCTTTCCCAGCAGGCAGGGTCTTCGGGTGCAAGAGGAATAGCAGAGGTGACTAAATCATTGAAAGTCAATATTGTAAATGCAGTCTTATTGGTGGGAATGACCTAAGAGACGGAAAAAATGGATTAAGATTTCCCTGATTGAAAAGGAAGGCTGGGATTATTTCTCTTTGTTTGCCATGTTTAAAAAAATAAGTTATTTTGCAGATGTGAAATTAAATAGAAAGAAAATAAATAGTTTTCAAGTCAATCAGTGCGTTCAAATTTGATACAGATCCTAAAAAATCTGAGATGTGAATGCTCACATCTCACTAGAAATAGCGGAGATAGTACTACCAAATTTAATTTATAGGTAGACTGAAACTTGCTCAAGAAATCCAAAACAGTCGCATTTGACAATGTTGTAAAAAAACTGTTAAAAAAGAAGTTAAACAGAAAATCAAGAAGTCAAATGTCTCTAGTTTACTTGGAGATTAGTCATCAACACAGTAATTGAGCTAGAATGTGCATCATAGGTCAAGAAAGGCACTACCCAAATCCAAGAAGTTACTATGATTAATGAATACTGCCAAGAAAACTATTAGAAAAAATAGTTCGTTTTTAAGGAAATGGAAATATCCTCCATATGAGAAAAAAGGAATAAAGCATATACAGTGGAACCTCGGTTTACGAAC